TATTATTATTAATTAGAACATTTTAAACTAAAATGTTCAAATAACATTTTAGTTTAAAATGTTCTAATTTTTCAATTACAAAATGTTCTGATCTGTGACTTATGAATCAGCTGGTTAACAAGAAGAGGGCACCACATTTGACTTATGGACCTAAATTCATTTTTAAAAAATCTGTTTACTTCTGATTCATTTTTATATTTTTGTAGTTTTATTATTTTAAAAACTTGTAAATTAGATATGTAAGACACAGTAGATCAGTATTTTAATTTCATGTTTTTAGCTGCATTCTGAAATATCAGAACAAGGAGTCCATTAAACTGTTTTAATTAAATAAAATTTTCTTTTGGATGATCTAAGATTTGGAAAGCTTTGGTCTCAATAACATTTATCTTGTTCTTTTCATGAGTTTCTTTATTTTAGTGTGTTTTTTTTTAGACTTAAAACTGTCATAAAGACTTGTAAAGATATCTCAATTTTTGTATTCTAATAACAAAACAAATTTGTGCTTTCATTAAGTTTTATTCTTAACTTCAAAATAAGACCCTGAGAATAAAAATTTGATTTTAAACTTATTTAAGAAATTAAAAGATGGAAATATGAAATTAAAGTAATATGTGAATATCAAATCAATAAACTTAAGTATAATTCTGGATTTCAGATATCTGAATGCAATAATTCATTCATTTAAGAATTTATTCTGTGTAAAATTAATACCTTTCTACTCAATAATTTCTATAATGCTTACTTCCATAATAGGATTAGAAGCCAATACTTTTTTCTCAATACAGGTTTCTGTTGAAGAACCCCCAACAGTAGCAAAGTACCTCATTGCGTATTTTGCAGAAACTGTTTTTCCTGCTCCTGATTCACCACTCACAATAATAGACTGATTTTTACTTTCTCTAAAGGAAGAATAAAATAAATTATAAAACATTAATGAAATCTCAGATGTTATATACATATATTATATACATTGTAAAAACATTCTGTAAATAAAGAAAACATGATAAACTGCAATCAAAGTGTTAATCTGGCACTAATGGACCAGAATGATGCTGGATTATTGACAATGTCAAATTGTCAAATTTTTGCATTTTTTACAATTTTGATTAGCTAGTTGTACCCAGCAAAATATTGCTGTAAAAAATTATTGCTAAATTACAAGTAAATAGGAAAATAAAGCAGCAAATAAATTTATTTACATAAAAATTATTAATATAAGACACTGTCTTATTTTCGGGGAAACACGGTAGGTTAAATGAAAAATCAGAAGTCTACAAAATTCCGTTACAACATGCACTCTTAGGAAGAAAATTATTTACATTGGACCTACTGCTAGAATGTTAGTCCTATATTTTAGAACATCAAGATGATATTAAAAACAACAGACTAGCAACTGTTATCTAAACATGTACTAGACCAAGATTATCTACTGCTTTGGACACACACCAAATTACTTAAGCATTGAAATGATAGAAGGGAGTTATTTATATGTGAGAGCCTTTATATATCTGCTTTAACACCATGCAGTAAACCTACCATAGAAATCCCACAATTGTGGATAACCTTATTCAAACAATTCAATTTGTATTAATTTAGTTGTCTTTATGTCCTTATCTCTTGTTTTATTCTATTATAGTCAACTAAGACCTATCTTATTAATAGGACATTTACACTGGTGTGATAGTTATTTGCAACAAGTACTGTTCTTAATCAGAAAAAACAAAACTCTATGTGTCCGAAACACAAATATGTGTATTTTTCACTTGTTCCTGTACACAAAATACACATATTTGTGTTTCGGACACATATGTCCCTCCAAACCTGCTGATGAGGGACGTATGTGTCCGAAACACGAATATGTGTATTTTGTGTACAGGAACAAGTGAAAAATACACATATTTGTGTTTCGAACACAGAGAGTTTTGTTTTTTCTGATTAAGAACAGTACTTGTTGCAAATAACTATCACACCAGTGTAAATGTCCTATTAATAAGATAGGTCTTAGTTGACT